GGGAAAACCACAGGAACTGCTAAGTAACTTTGGGGTTTTAATGCCTCGTGAGACCTCGGAGAGCTGGGGCTAAAAACCTGCACCTCCCTGGCGATGCTGTGCTAGCCCATGCTGGGTTTATCCATCATCCGGATGGGAAAGAAGTGAGGAGAGTCAGTCTGGGGGGGCTTCAGGCTCTGCACCCTCCGCCCTTCGGTCCTTCCGCCAGGCAGCCACAAAAGGTGTCAGTGTGGGAGATGCTCTGAAGGATGACATTACTTTTAGCTCGTAGGCGACAGTGACGATGGAGAGGTGAAGGGGAGCAGAGATACCCGTTGGCACAAGAGCCGAGCAGCCCTCGTGGCTGTTCTCTGACTCACCTCTTCAGCTCCCTCACAGGACATCTGATACACAATTTTATCTGTTACCAAAAAAGCCTTATTTGTTGTAAACTGACACAGGACGCTCCTGAGCAGCAGCTACCCAGGAGCATTTCTTATTAAAAGCCAGCAAAAAGCCTCATGTGTGAATTCAGCTTCACTTCTGGGTATATCCCAGAGAATCAATACATTCCTCAGTTCCCATTTTATTTCTCAAGAGCATCATTTCGTGACAGCTGAGCATAGGAAATACTAGTTAAAACTAATTTTCACTCCTCTGGAAGGACTAAAAGGTGCTGGCATAGATAAGCAGACCACCACCTCCAGCTGACCACTCAGTGTTGGGATTTTGTGTGGATCAGTTTACAGTCTCCATTAGAGTGAATTTGAGGCTGGTGTATCTCTCCTGGAGAAGCTGAGCAGTCCAGCGTCCATGGGTTTCTAGGCACCTGTAGACACAGACATGTGACTTGTAGCACTTACCTTCAGCCCAGGAGAGCCAGGCACAGGTCTCTGCATCTTGGGCCCCAGTGAGGTGTGAGCTCTGGAGCCACCTCCAGCTGCCCACTCCTGATGTTATTGTTGCTGCTTGGATTCTGCACCACCAGATCCTCCCAAATCTCATCACCCTCCTGCTTAGCCTCTGGACTGCAGCTCACCAGCTGATACCAAGGAAGGCTTAGCACAGAGCTGTGGCACACGAGCTGTCCCACCGAGGCTCATGTGCCAACACAAGCTGCTCTGTGGGAGCAGCATCCCTCCATGAAGGAGCTGGTGTGAGCCATGCTGCTTCTCCCAGCAGTGGCAGGACTGCCACACATGCCGGAAGACCATGACTCATGTGCAGCTGAGGAACTAGTTAATTCTTTTAAAGTTGTCAAGTTTCCTGTGAGCCATTTTACCTCTTGTACCGCAGCACAACTTCCCTCTCTGAGCAGCATCTGCACCGGTTTTTATGCCTGGGGAGGAGGGACCTGTCCCATTCCTCTTGACCAAACTCCTTGTAAGGAGTTTCAGTCCTTTTGCAGAGGGTATTTTCAGCTGCTACATAGCAAGGAAATGAGCTTCACTCCACCCGCTGCTGCTTTCCCTCAGGATTGCTGAATGGGCATCATCTGGGTGAAACCCTGATGAGGGAGCCCTGGTGGGCCTCAGGGAGGTTGTCCAAGCTCCTCACTTTCCTGTGTCCCCACTGCTGTTTGACCCTATCCTGGCCACAGAGCAGCCACGGCTGTGTCCATGCAGAGGAGTTGAAAGGGACTGTCTGCAAAGGACTGAAGCTTTAGGAGCTGACATGCAGCTCTGTTCCCCACTGATGCTGGGTGGGATGCCACCACAGATTCACCTCTGTGCAGCCCTGCCACCCCCTTCTCCTCCCTGAGGCTGAGGGGGCTGCTTGGGTACTTCTGGGCCATTGTTAGCCTGGGGAAGTCATGCCTGGGTCCGTTAAATGCACACAAAACCAGAGGCAGACACTAACAGCACACAAAAACAAACTGTGCTTTTCCTGGCAAACATGAGCATGTTTCCCTTCTCACCACCCTCTCCAGCCTGGTCTCCCAGCCAAGTGGACCCTCCCTTCCTCCCCATCCATCAGCAGTCACCCTCAAGCACCTTCCCCTGCCTCCTTCTCCTCTTCCTCTTGGCTTTGTCTCACATTTCTGGGAAGGATCGGACCTCGGGCATCCTGAGGACGCTCTCTGATGCTTTCCAGTGGCAGTAGGGCCACAACTTGGCTCAGGGATCCTACAGCTGAGCCCCTGGTGCCAGGAGGGGCTCCCTGCAGCATACAATGCCAAGGTGCCGGGCCAAGCCCTCCATGTGCCTTCCTCCTGAGGCTGGCTCCTGTGGCTGCCCACCTCCAGGCATCCCATCTGGGCTGGGTGAGCCTGGCCAATGGGTTAAATCCTCATTTCTCTGCTTTCCCATCAGGCTGGTCTGGATGGAGAAAACATCGGAAACTGCCCCTTCTGCCAGCGCCTCTTCATGGTGCTGTGGCTCAAAGGGGTCAAGTTCAATGTCACCACGGTGGACATGACCAGGTGAGACGGCATCACAGCCCAGCCCTGTGCCAGTGGCGGGATGAGACACTGCTGGCTTGGCTTCCCCCATCAGCGCCTTCCTCCTTCCCACCCACGCTGCTGCCAGTGTGCCACCTCGAGAGGGACAGGAGTGACAGTCCCTGCCCGCTTACCACCCCTCACACTGTGGGGCGCAGGGAGTGGGCCAGCAAGGGGCTCCAGCCGTATGCCAACGCGTGCATGGGCACAGGGACCCCCTGTCCTGCTAGATGCACTCCTGAGTCTGAGGCACAGCATGGCAGACCGAGGGGCTGGGGAGCACTTGCAGCCCCTCAAAGCCAGCCAAGCATGCAAGCAGGGATGCTCCCAGCCCCACGCCCCCTCCCGTACACCCACCTCGGCCTTGTCTGTTCGCCCAGGGAGGCTGGTGGGTGCAGACAGGCTGCAGGCTCTGAGCCCGCTTATTTTCTCCGCTCCAGGAAACCTGAAGAGCTGAAAGATTTAGCGCCGGGCACCAACCCACCCTTCTTGCTGTTCAACAAGGAGCTGAAAACAGACTTCATGAAGATCGAGGAGTTCCTGGAGCAGACCCTGGGCCCACCCACGTAATTGCAAACTCCCTCCTTCCCCTTTCGGGGCCCGGCGGGTGCACCGCAGCGTTGTGCAGTGCGCGGCGGATTGGGAAACCCGGGCAGGGGGCCGGGCGGTGGCGGCTGCACGCCCTGGTCGGGCTGCGAGGGGACGGGAGGGATCGGATGGAAAACAATGGGAGGAAGCGCACCAGTCGCTCGGTGCGGGCCGGGCCGGGGGGGAGAGTGAGCGGGGGGG